ATTTCTGTTGGGTGGGGAAAGACGTTCAGGTTTCTCATTCCCACTGGCTGACACCAACTGGTTAAGAGGAAGGGCCACTTTATTACTCTTCTCTTACTGACATCATGGGATAGCAGGGATAAAAATTATAACTCCCCACAAGGCCACCATTCTAGAGGAGAATGAAGAGACACTTCATCATAGCTGGGGTGAGGGTGGAAGTCAGGGCTCCCCACATGGCCTTTGTTGATGGGATAGATATGATATGGCAGGTTTTTCAGTGGAAACTGGCTGGAGTAGAGTAGTTATTGTCTGAATGTTTTCAGTCTTGCTAGGCTGCCCCTTTCCTGTTCCTTTGGCTAGACAGAGCAGGATTTTCTTGGGGCTTTTATTACTTTTGCCTGTCGGACATGTCATTCTTGGGTCCTGAGATCTCTAGACAATCTGCCCTCTTATCTCCACTTTTCAGTCTTATGTTTGTTTTATATATTTTGTCCAGAGTTTTTAGTGGTCTACTTCATTTTGAGTCAGAAATAGAAGTGATTGTGCTTTTAAAATTTATTTTGACTCTAATTTGAAGGCGAGAGGATAGGAAAGACTGAGGAAAAACAAAAAAAAATGTTACTTATAATTTCGTTCTTTTTTGTTCTACCTGCTTTGTCTAAAGCTACATTTCTTTACTTTAAATGTTGGCCTAAGCTCTTGTCTTATATGTTGTGTTTGGGGACCTAGTAAGGAGTCTAAGGGTCTGAGACAGGTGAGAGAGATTATTACTGGAACAAAGAGGGGTCCATTCACCTGCATGGGAGTCAAAGGAAAGATTCATGCAGGAAAGAAAAGAAAGTAAGAATTTTCTTCAGGGTGTTGCAAGTCCTGGAGATGCAGGTGAGCTAATGCTCTCTCAGGAGTACCAATTACATAGGAAAAAATCAGTCATCATGAAAATTAAGGGAGTTGGGGTCATGGGTGCTACTGATTGGACAATTGGATGGGGCTGGGATAATTGATCACTGTGTCTGGTTCTAGAATCAGCCCGGTGTCATCCTGTCTGGCCCTGTGGCCCTGTGGTGTAGTTGTTCTGGCTTGATGGACCTGGAGCTGAAACACATGTAAGTCTAAGATGTTATCTTTAGTGTAACCGAAACTTATTGTGCTGTTATTACAGATCTGAGGCTTGATAAATCTTATGTCCTAGGGCTTAATGATTAAAGGAGCAGGCATACAAAGGTAGAGGGTGGAAAAAGCAAGTAAATCACAATGCCATTATCTTGGCAAAACCAGCTCGAATTAGATAGAAACTATATTAAAGAAATGGAATGAAGTTTGTGTGCGGTATGGTATGATTATGGAGGGACCCAAAACTAGACATAGAACTTGAAACTTTTGGCTCTAGGGATCAATTTCAAGTGTTTAATTTAAATGATGATGATCAGATGATTTCTTTAAAACATAAAGTGAGTGTGAAGTGCGGAAGCAGAAGAGTTTCTGGAAGCTGGAGCAGGATAAAACCTCAGTGTGCCGAGCTGTGTAGATGACTAACACAGATTTGGAATCAGTGAAGCAGGGCCATTGCCTGTGGCTCACCTCCAAGGGTTGCCACAAGCTCATCCACCTTTTAGGTAAAACCTATGTAAAAATCTCTCCTCAAGTGTGCAACATTCTTTGCACACATACAATGTTTAAGGCCCTGTAGAGTTAGATAAAAAGACACCTGAGACATCATCCTTGCTCTCAAAAAGCATATGGTACAGAAGCTTCCCACTTTATGGATTCCTTTCTCATACTATTTATCCCCTTCTACACTCACAGGAAAAGATGTCACATGCCCTTTCAGAGAATCTCCCAGATGTTTTTGCCCGAGATAAGGAACGCTAAAAACCAAAACCAAACCAAACAGAATATAGAGAGAAAAGCTTCTCACCCTGCAGCCTGAGTTAGCTCCAAGAACAAGTATTAGTTTGACTTCTGAGACAGTACAAGGTTTGTCCAGGTAACCTGCTGGTCATTGGGTGGCTGTCATAGCACCCTTCACACACCTGATGCTGCTCAGGGAGAAAGAAG